TGCCTTTAAATCGGAGGCCAGTTCACGAACATTTTTCAGTAGTGCCGTTTTGGCCAACATAGGTAGAATTTTCCTCAGGTTAACATACAAGCATTTCAACCATATCTCCTTACTGAAAAAACAAAACTCTTTAACAAGAACAACATCAAATTCTTGCTCTGTATAGGGAATGGAAGGGAGGGGGATGAAGAAATACATGTACTTTCATCCGTGTTGGATGAACTCAAAATGTATTTTCATGGTGCTTACAGTCTGACATCATTTCAGACCTCTCATTTAACAGCTTACTTTGGCCTGGATACAACATGATTGCAAGTTTCTCATCCTGGCACAAACTAAATATAATTTTATCAATGTTGTAAGGTTTGGCTTTTCTTAAAATGCTTCAGTGCACAAATGAGCTTCCATTTTTTTCTTTCATTTTCCACACATGACTGGCTAGTTTTGTGCAGTTTCAATATTTTTCCAGTTTGAATGATGACTGACGGTTGAACGTTCTTTTTTTTAAACTACTCTCAGTACACCCCACATATACTTTACTTTCACCATACTACTTTGTAGACCAATCCTTCTGTTTTACAAGCTCCTTCCATTGAACATTTGTTTATATCCTTACAGTGGCACATTTTGTTGTTTATATCGTTTTTTTTTCACCCCAAGCAAGGCGGGAAGCCACTAGGACGCAAGGGGTTACAGAAAATTTGGAGCAAGATCAGATAGGTGTGATAGAAGAAAGGATGAGGAGAAGGGTAATGGATAGATCAAGGCAACTGGAGATGTCGATTGACATTACATTTGAATAGTTGGAGATTATAGCTCTCAGGGAAACTGGAATAGGGAAGGGAGTTCCACAGGCGATAGGTGCGAGATATGAAGCTATTGGAGTAGAAGAGACGGCTACATTTAGGAGTTTCGACACTCAATGGGTGAGAGCGGGATGCCAGCCTCATAGGGCGCTTGAACTCATGAAGTCTGGGAACCAGCGAATGCAGCTCCTCGGAGCAATTGCCATGAAAGTATTTGTAAAACAGACAGAGAGAGGCGACGGCACGTCTGTGAGAAAGTGACTGTAGATGAGATGCCAGAGCAGGGCCAATTATATTGCATATCCGCCTCTGGAGCCTATCAAGAACCCCGAGGCAAACAAAAGGGGCTCCAGACCATATATGGCAGCAATACTCCATGCAAGGACGAATTGTTGATTTGTAGATCTGGAGGATCGATTCCGGGGAGAAAAATTTCCTGGCGCGGCACAGAGAGCCAACTTTCCTTGCGGTGGACGAAGCAATTGACTCAATGTATTTGTTCCATCTCAGGTAAGCAGTCAACGTGAGACCGAGCAGCCGCAGAGAGGTGCTCTCGAGAAGTTGAGCGTCAGACATTCTAATGGAGGGCAGGGGAGGATCTCTGTGGTGATTAATAGAGAGCAGTTTTGTTTTTGAAGTATTAAAGTTGACCAGCCAATTCCTGCCCCAGTTCACAACCGATTGGAGGTCCTTTTCGAGACGCGTGGCCAGGTTAGTTTTGTCAGTGAGACTAGATTTGTTTTTGAGGCAGGAACAAATTAATGGTGTCATCCGCGTAGATGCCAACTTGGGAATTTATGACGTCAGGAAGGTCATTTATGTAGATAAGGAATAGAGTGGGGCCTAGGATGGAGCCTTGAGGAACACCTGCGTTCGTGGGATAGGAACTGGAGTAGAATCCGTTGAGAACGACCTTCAATTCACGGTTTGACAGGAATGATTGTATTAGGTCAAATAATCGACCCGTAATGCCATAACCGTGGAGCTTGCGAAGAAGGCCGGCATGCCAAACCCTATCAAACGCTTTGGAGATGTCTAGGGCCACGGCACGAGCTTCCCCGTTATTTTGAAGAGCTTGGTAGACAGTTTCAGTGATGGCCGTAAGCACATCAGCTGTAGATCGGGCAAAGCGGAAGCCATATTGCTTGTCTGAGAGCAGATCATGGGATGTGAGGTGGTATTGATTAGGGCTTCGAAGACTTTGCTGAAGAGGGGTAGGAGACTGATAGGACGGTAGTTAGATGGGTCAGAGGGGTCGCCAGAGTTCTTGAAGACAGGAACAATCGAAGAGGACTTCCAGCAGTCAGGAAAACAAGTTTCCTTGAGGTAGTAGTTATATAGTTTAGAGAGGGCGGGCACCAGTTCAGGCGTGCATTTCTTCAAGACAATGTCTGGTATCCCATCTCCACCACTAGCCTTGTTGGGGTCTAAATTGGAGATAATGCCCAATACCAAAGACGGGGTTATGTGTAACCCACTCAATAGGGCCTTGGTTCTAAGAGGGAAGTAGGGTATTGGTACACCGGAAGAGTCGAGCGTTGAGTTGAATTAAAATTTCCGAGCAAAACATTCAGCCTTGTCGGCAGAGGAGGTCAGGACTTCGAACTGGTTGAACATAGGAGGTTTAGAGGGTTTGCAATTGTTCAGTACGCTCTTGCAGAGACGCCAATAATCTTTGGTACCAAATTTGCGAGATGCAATACGCTCCTTCATCCGTATGACTTAGCATCGTTGAGGACACGCTTACACTCGTTACGGGCGGAGGCAAAGAGACGTCTATTGCAGTCAGACATGTCGCTACGAAAGAGGTGAAAGAAGTGGTTCCTATGGGCGATGGAGAACCAGGGGGAGGATCGCGACTTGACCCTATATTTCCTTGAGGGGATGAAAGCGTCGATTCCAGCTTTAACCCAGGATGAGACCTCAGAAGCTCATTCTTGGACGGGGAGCGTAAAGACAACATCCATCGCGGAGGAAATCACGGAACGCGTCCCAGTCAGCTCGTTGATAGTAGAACGAAGTTCTAGTGGTAGGAGGTTCTTTGCAGGGGGTGGAGTTGAAGGAGATGTTAACAGATACTACCGCATGATCAGAGTTACCAAGAGGGCAGAGTTGCGTGGCGCTACAGGACTCGGGGATGGAGGTAAAACACAGATCAAGAAGAGAGGCGTTACCTTCCCGGTTGAAGGCAAAACGAGTGGGGAAGTTAACTATCTGCGTGAGGGATTGAGAGACTGAAAAATTGAGCGTTTGAATGCCTGCGTGGTCAGTAGTAGCATTCTTAAGCCACAAGGTATGATGGGCGTTAAAGTCGCCAAACACAAATATGTGAGCAAACGGGTGGAGGGAGAGAGCCTTGTCTATGCTGTCAGAAATGACATCGAGTATCCCACAGTCTTGAGAGGATGGAGAGCGGTAAAGGAAGAAGAGATAGCTTACCGCATTGAGAAGAGATAGTCGGAGACACATGTACGACTGGTCTGGCGATTCGAGAGACAACTCTCTTTGAAATTCCTGGCGTTCTGTTTTTTTATGGTAGCTTCCGAATTGCTGGTACGAATATAGCTTATTTACACGGTGTTACTATTGAAGATTTTATGCAATTCGGATTTTTTGGCGAAGAGCTTATCAAGAAGCTTAAAAAACCTATTCCCTATGTTTGACTTTATTTCCAAATTAAAGGAGGGTGTTTAAACCAAATGATATTTCTTTGCGTTTTGGTGCGCCCCATTAGTTGATGTTTATGGGGTTTGAATTCAAGTTTAGTCTTATGCCCTCCGCCTTCTATTAACTCTCTTTCGTATACCTTCTTGTTTTCCTCAAAAATATTCTTGCATGAGAAATTCCTTGAAATTCTGGATTCTATTTCTTTTAGGGATGTTTGATTACAGCTTTAGTGTGGTTGGATCCAGCATTCACGTATTTCAATATCTTGTTGGGTTTCATATATGTGGAGATGCTGCCGTTTTGTAGTCCTCAATAAACAAGGGATACTTGAAGCATTGAACCTTGAAGAGGATTTTGTCGAAATAACCTCCAAGCAAGGTTCGTAGATGGGATTGAGGTTTCTGAATTGATGGGCCTTTACATATTAAATAGGATCAACAGTGCTGGCTCTGGAAATTTAATATTTTTACTCCTCCTCCCTTATATTTCCTTTACTTTGAGTTACCCCTCCCCTTATTGTTAACATTTCTCTTCCTCAACACCTTCATAAATTCCTTACACTCTTAATTTGCCTCTCCCCTTATTATTAAATTTTCCCCACTTTTCCCCCTTACATTCCATCTACCATTGTTTAACTAACATTTCCTTCAATATTGATTTTCCCCTCCCCTCATTATATTATTATTAATAATATATATTATATTATTATTATATTATTATGAATATATCTTTCTCCTGCCTCCTCCTTTATTTACTCCCTACCACTACTTCTTTCCTTAGTTTAAAAAAAATGTTAGTTATTATTAATATTAATTTCCCCTCCTTCTGATATTTAATGTCTTTTTAATATTAATTTTATTATTAATATTATTTCCCTTACATTCCAACTACTCTTGCTTTATTTACATTATTCGGACTGTTATCGTCATCTTCATTGCCATATTCACAGCGTTTCAGCCGTTGTACGCTTAGGCATTCTTCATGCGACTGGAATTTCAAACCGACCCTTTATTTCATCCACCGAGGTAGATTGTTCTAGTTCCACGTGCCATGCCTCTTCCGGATATCTCGGTTATTTCCATTTAATTCGACTCTCCAAGGATTTTTGATTCACGACTGCTGTAGCCTGGTATTGAACTCACAACTCTTTGGGTCTAGTCACTGGATCTAACCAACACCTTTATAAATGTAGATGAGGACAACAGTCCGAATAATGTAAATAATCATAATACCTCATTTCAGAGATATAGATAGATACGCTTGCTTCGCTCCTCCTCTTCAACCGTAATTCCTGTTGAGAATGTTCAAATAAATAAACAAATCGTTCGGGAAATACAAGTAACTTCTACTGTCTGAAGAAAACTTATTAGTGGAAACCATGGTAACATATTATTCATTGACTTTAATACTTAATAGAATCACACATTCGGTTTTTCTTCTTTTTTATATTGTGTATTGGGCACTCTTTTATATAACCGTTTTCCGGACAAATCTAACTTTGACAGAAAAAAAAATGTTTTAACTTACATTACTCGTTTCTGGACACCGGGCAGTGTTCTTGAAGGCATTCGCAATATAAAAGGGCTGAGGACATTGGTTAATTTTCAGAAGCCTCAACGGAACATCCACAGTAACCACTCCGCTAGAAAATGTAAGGAAATGTAAGTTAATATATAATAAAAGTATTTGTGGAAAGAATATTCGCTTTCTTTCTTTCTTTCTTTCTTTCTTTCTTTCTTTCTGTTTATTTATTTATTTTTTTTGTTGCTGTTAACCGAGAACAATTAAGTGTGTATGAAGAAATGCGGCAATAAAAAAGAATTTCATCTTAATATAAAAATTCGAAGACGATGCTTCATTGCCTCGAGTAGAATTTTGACTCTGTGCTTATTTATTGGATAACTGGAGCAAAAAGCGAACAAAGCATTTAATGTTAAACTTTTATAAAACCTGTCAGTTATATTGTAACAGTAACTGAAATTTGTAACAAATATCACATTTCCATTGGGCTGTTTTCGTTGAGTCGAGGTATTATTTTTTTTAGCTGGTGAAGCCTGTATTGAGTTGCATTTTAGTAATAAGAATTCATCCAAACAACTTTTATTAAATTCCACCTACAAAGTCTGTTTATTCAACTTTTATTATATTTTTCCAATTCCTGAATGAGGTGTTGTACATCGGGATTGAAGATATGAATAAATTGTCCAAAGTTCATGTTTTTTCATATCATATTCAAATAATTTTGACTATTACAGTCATTGTCAAGAATAGGTACTATCATTATGGCAAACAGTATTTATTTGACAAACTACTGATATTTTTCGATTGTTGGAATTAGAGTTAAAATTGACCCAAAGTGATGTCATTTGTAATAGACTGTAAATCATGTATTGAAAATCGTGGTCTTACACACACACACACACACACACACACACACATACATACATACATATATATATATATATATATATATATATATATAGGGTAAGTGTATATGATTTCCTATATCAATCTAATCCGGCGGTAGAGATCAACAGTGGAGTATCGAAGAAAGAAAGAACTCATTATCAACTTCGAAACTGTGAAATATTTATTTCTCTATGGCAACTTTTTAAAATCATTTCATCCAAAGCAAGGCAATAAAGCCACTCAAACGCAAGGAGTTACTGAGTGTGTAAAAATACGAAAAGAATTTGATTGGCCCTCCAATGAGAGAAGGGCTGAGATGGACTTTCTCGTCTCCCACTCCGAATGCATCTGGGTTGTTTAGCTATAACTTCAGCCATCAGTCAACCTCTTCCTCCTAGCTGAAAAATTCCTTATACGGGGGAAACTACTTTAAATCCCTTTTGTTTATGTATTTATAATCTTAATCAGTCATAGCACCATAAATAAAAGATATTATTTTTACACTTGTTAATGAGTGTTGTAGTTAATTAGCTTTACCGGCGACATTAGTCTTTCACACGCATAGCCAGGACAGAGGAGTCAAGCCTGATCTTCGATCTGCGGATATTAAAAGACAACGTGGGGATGCAGGGTTGGTGCTAAGCGTGATCGCCAGAGACAGACCAACAGAGACGGACCAAAAGTATGAGTAGCATTCAGCGAAGGACGCGGCAACTGGACCACAAGATAACGATTGCATTTAAATTTTTGAAGATCAAAGTTGGCTGGGAAGCAAAAACCGAAAGAGAATTCCACAAGCGAGAAGTGCAAGAGAAGAAATTGTTAGCATAGAACTTACGGTTAAATCTAGCCATTTCAACTATAAAAGGATGAGACCTTGCCGCCAATCTAGTACTGGCATCTTAAAACCAATGACGATCTCATTGAAGCATGAATCTGTTAATTCCTATGTCCAGTGTCATTAGCATTTGAGAATTAATAGTAGCTATAGCTATAGACAGTGTGGTCATTGTCCGCACAGTCTATATCTACAGGGCACCCTTAAAGTCTGGACACATAAGAAATCTCATTAACTATATATATTTTTTACCTCCGCAGATTAAACATGGTTTTGTCGAAAGAAGAAAGAAAGACTTCTTTTTCTGGGGTATGCTAAATGAGAAGGTGTACTCAATGAAAATCACAAATACAATACACTTGATTGAACGCATAAAGAGTGAATGTGGTAAAATTGACCGCAATGTGGAATTATTGCATTGAGTTCACGTGAATCTTGCAAAGTGCATCAGCATTTGCATTACAAATAACGGAAATCATATTGAAGATGTTATTTGTTAATATTTCAATTCAATATAATGTTGTTGAAAATTTAATTTCTTGAAAATATGCCTGTGTCTAGATTTTAGGGACACCCTGTATAAAAGCTCTATATCTCATATCGAGGCAAATATATAATAAAATGTTGAATATCTGGTCTCAATAGCTCCATACGTATTGCAGTATATCACAAGTTGCAGTAAAATATTTTTAATAAAATAGAAAATTTACGTTAATTTAAAATAAATAAATACAATTGCTTAATTGGTCTAGTGCTGACCTGCACCATTAAACTGACTACAATCATTGAAAAATAACCACTGACCGCAAGAGTACATTTTTAGAGTAGATTACTGAGTATAAGTGAGATAGAAACACACACACACACATATATATATATAAAAATAAATGGTGAGAAAATTCGTTCTTTTTCTACAGAGATTTAAAATGATTCATTAGATACAAGTGAAATATTTGTTTGAATAAAATTATTCTTCCTCAAAACTGAATTTTTCATATGCCAAATTTATTCTGATGCACACAAAAAATGACTATTTTGAAAACCTCGCGTAGACCACATTGACTAGTCTTCCGGGTCCCATTAAGACCACACGTCGTATTTTGTGCAGGCTTAGTCTAGTGGTTACTACATTAGTATCGTCGACGGTGTTAATATTATACTTTCATGTATTTTTCGTTCTTACTGATGGGTCTTTTAAAAAAAAAAAAAAATATATTTTATATTTTTATATTTTGGTGATGGAGGACATAACAAAAGTATTCTTCACTTACATCAGCAATATTATGAAACAGTCAAACAAATTACTCTGCCTAATTTAAAAAAAAATACACATAAAAAGTGTTATGGAATCAAAAATACCAAAGTAGCGCCTTGTACAGTTAAGTGACGTCCTGTCTTATCAGCCAATTGCTAGTGTAGTGATTTCGAAATGCCTCACAGACTCTTGTGTCAGACTAAACTAAGGTATTCTCTAGGTGTTTGGTGTTCCAATTTTCCTTAAGGGATTTCGAACTGAATACTGTATTTATTCTATGGGACAACAGCATTGTGAGTTAAAACGTTGATTCGTAAATTTGGTGATATATTAATTGTGAGTTCAATCCCTGGGCCGGGCATTGTGTACTTGGACTGAGTGGAAACGGAGCAATCAATAACTAAGCAGTACTAAATAGGAACAAGACGAGATAACCCTAGAAATGGACCACGGAATGAAAGTAGTCTATACCAATAGATTAAATAAGGATTAATGAAAGGCATAATGATCGAAAGTTTACGATAACAACAAAGATGAGGGCATTAGTCCGAATGTAAATGATAATAACTTCACATCGCAGAAAAATAAGGGCGTTTCGCCGTGGAGCAATGTTTAGGAGCCTTTAGTGCCTCGACTACATGAAATTCAGCATACTACTAGAGTGGCAATTATGTCTCAATGTTTTACTGTTGAACTAACTAGATGCAACCGCCATTTCTATTCTAATAACTTCTTTTCTCGCCTGTAGAATCCCCTTCCAATTTTTGGTCCCCTGCCGTCTGCAATCTTAAAAAATTTAAATGCAACGTCAATCACCATCTTCTGTCTAACTGAACCCTGTTACTTTATTGTCCTCGCTAAAGTCTTCTCATTCTCTTTCACTCCCCGTAACCCCGGCATCCTAGTGTCATTGTCGCCTTGCTTGGGGTTCATCGATTAAAAAAAAAAATGAGAATAAAAGAAGGTCAATTCAAAAACTTATTACTGCATAGACTTCAATGCTTACTGGATGCCCCCCCCCCACAAACTGCAATTTTGTGATGGCCGAAGCTTGGTTAGAAAATAAGGTGTTTGTTTAAATATTACCTCATTTCTGCCAATAAACTCAGCAAAAAAAAACAACAACATATTTTTGTCTCCAGAGGGGAAAATAAAATGTTTGAAAAGCAGTTGAACCGGATTTATAGCCAATAACAACTTTATTGTAAGCTTGTGTAATAAATATCTCATACAAATTACCCACCTAAGGTGAATTTTACAAAATAACATATATAACTCCACCCAGACACTGTTCCTATGAAGTATTTGTTTATTGAAAAATATCTGTATATTTAATAAGATTAGTTTAGCAAATGTGTAGCTAATATCATAATACCCGTAAAAAATAACGAGATTATTTATCACCAGAGAATCTGGGCACTCAATGTTGTTCCTCGATCCTCAGCCGATAAGATAATCAATTTGCTCTTTAAAACGCACATATTATATATATATATATATATATATATATATATATATATATATATATATATTGAAATGATGTTCACCCTGTACAAGGCCAAAGAGTCACTCGAAGTAGAGGGTTATAGCGTAAGTCGGACCACATCAAGCAAGGGGTTAAAATCAAACAATACGATAGTGAAAGAGAAGAAAAATACTTTAAAAGGAACCGGAAACCTAATCTTGAACAGGAAACAAGGGATAAACTTCTACTCATTTTCAAAAGACCGGAGATCAGTGTGAACCACACACACACACACACACACACACACACACACACACACACACGCGCGCGTTTGTCTGTGTGTTTACTTATCGTCCGGTTCACACTCCTTCAAGGTCTTTCGAACAGGAGTAGAGTTTTATCCCTTGTTTCATTTTAGGATTGGTTTTCCGCTTCCTTCTGAAGTGTACTTTAACTCTATAGTTTTAACCTCTCCGACTGAACTCTAACCTTTTATTTTCTTATTTACATTTTATCCTTAAAAGGATAGATATGTTCGACTCACATATACTCCCTGTTTAGGATTGGGTGTCCGTTTGTTTCTAAAGTATTTTCATACTAGCGAATAATAATAACAATAATAACAAAAACTGTGTTTCGAAAATGAAGACGTGGACGACTGTATTTCTGGAGGAT